AAATAATCCACACCCTCCAGCTGAGTATATCCTTTTGCTACCAAACGGGCCTTGTATCGTTCGATGGATCCATCATCATGATGCTTGATTTTGTAGACCCATTTGCAACCAATCGATTGTTTGCCTGCAGGCAAATCAACAACAAACCAAGTATTTGTAGATTCAAGAGCATCTAACTCAGATTTCATAGCATTGTTCCAACAATCAAACTTGCAGGCTTGTTTATAGGTTTTGGGTTCTGTGAAAGAGCTTATGGATAGACAAAATAATTTGTGATCAGGACTACATTGGCTATAAGATAATACAGAAGAGAGAGGGTAGTTAGAGGAACCTGAGTCAGATGCTGGCAGCATGGGGGATAGCAAATTGCAGTGATAATCAGATAGATAAGCTGGAGGTTTAATATTTCGATTCGATTTTCTGGTTGGCACAGGAGGGGAGGGGCAAGGGGAGTTGTTAGTGTCATTTGAGGAAGAAGAGAGGTTAGTGGGAGAATCTGGCTGGGGGAGAGAGGTAGGAGAGGAAGGTTCATTTGATGGTGGAGGTAAGATGGGTGGAATGTTGGTGAAAATATCAGGTGAATCAAGGGAAGGAGGGCCAGGAGTAGGAATTATAGGATTAGGTGCAGGTGGGATGGATGCAAAAGGGAACACAGTTTCATAAAAGAATACATTCCTTGAAATGTAAAATTCATGTGTGATAGGATCATAGAGAAGGTAGCCTTTTGTGCCTTCCCTGTAGCCAAGAAAAATAGATTTCCTTGCTCTTGGTTCGAATTTAGTGCGATGGTTAAGCAAGGTCGAAGAATAGGCAAGACAACCAAAGACTCTCATATGGTTAAGGCTGGGAGGAGTAGAATGGAGTTTTGGTAGGGAGAGTGGTTGTTTAAAAGAGGAGTGGGAAGACGGTTTATAATATGAATGGCCTGTTGCATGGAAAGGTGCGAAAGGTTGTGAGGGAGGTGAGAGTGGAAAGAGAGGGCACATGCAACATTCAAAATGTGCTGATGTTTTCTTTCCACGATATTGTTCTGTTGAGGCGTTTCCACACAAGACCTTTGATGAATGATTCCTTTAGAAAGGTAGAAAGTGGTCATGAGAAACTCAGGACCATTATCACTACGAATGCACTTGAGTTTCTTGTTAAATTGAGTTTCGATAAAAGATATGAAGTGAATTAAATGGTTTCTGGTTTCACTTTTATTGGCCATAAAAATTGTCCAAGTAAACCTGCTGTAATCGTCTACGAGGGTTAAAAAATACTTGTGGCCACATATGGAAGGTGTGGAAAGAGGGCCCCAAATATCGACATGAAGTAAATCGAAGATGGCAACAGACTTAGTATTACTGTGAGTAAATGGCAAATGTTTTTGCTTAGCCAAATGACAAGTAGTACAGGGCTTATGATTGTCATTGTAGGTGACAAAAGGAAATTGAGAGGAAATACATTTGTGTATGTAAGGACTTAAGTGTCCAAGCCTAATATGCCAAATAGTAGCAGGATCGTGTTTAGCAGGTTCTAATTGGGGAGAAGAGGAGGTGTTGACAGAGCCAGATGTGGGAGAGATGGCCTTAGGTGGGGTGGCATCAAGAACATACAATTTGCCAATCCTCCTAGCTGTAAATCCAGTCATCTTGGATTGGGACAACTGCATAATTTGACAGCAATTAGGGGAAAATTTCACATCATATAAATTGGAGTTAAAATGAGTGGTGACAGAGATGATATTGACATGAAAGGAAGGAAAGTAATAAACATTGTGAAGGACAAGTGAATCACATAGTAAAATTGAACCAACAATAGTTGTAGTGACAGAGTCACCATTAGGCATTGTCATAGATTTAGGTGCAATGTGGTATGTGGAAAGGAAACTGGCAAAGATATGGGTGATGTGATCAGTGGCACCTGTGTCAATGATCCACCAGTTATGACAAGGAAGATTCGAGGAATTCTTACCAGAGGAAGTATGAGGAGAGGTATGGGAAACATAATTAGCAGTATAAACTGAATTAATCGAGGGAGGTGAAGGAGATTGCAAATTAGACTATTGTAGGAGCTGCAGAATCTGAGTGTATTGCTCTTGAATCATAGACAAAGCACTTGGACTGGTGTTTGATGTGGAAGCAGAGGAAGATAATGCCTCAAGTTGAGGAGAAGCAGCATCTTGAATCGAGTTCACTGTAGAATCAACAGAATTCCCCACAGATGTAGTAGGCTTGCGTTGTTGAAATCCAAGGGGATAGCCATGTGTCATGAAACAAATCTCAATGGTGTGATTGGTGCAGTTGCAATGAGTACAAATTGGGTTTCCACGGCCACCACGGCCACGACCACGACCAGGGTTGTGAGAAGAACGAGAAGGTGCTTGAGAAAGGTGATTCACAGACGATTGAGACTCAATTGAAGAAGCAGAAGGTGAAAGAAGGTTGAATTGACGTTCTTGTTGAAGAACCAGATTAAACACATTATCAAGAGTTGGTAGTGGGGTCATCAACATAATTTGCGAGCGAACATGAGCGTATTGGTCACCAAGGCCCTTCAAGAACTTGATAACTTTATCTTGTTCTTTGAATTTGCGTAAGTCTGAAGCAGCACCACAGGAGCACGGTATAGCGCAAGTACAATCACGAATTGGCCGGAAGTTCTCGATTTCTTCCTAAAGCGTCATCAATTTCGTGAAGAACGAAGAGATATCGAGAGTTCCTTGTTGAAGACGAGCAACAGTTTCTTGAATGTCAGCAATGCGAAAAATATCTCCCTGAGAAAAATGATTTTCCAAACTTTTCCATACAAGAGAAGCACGATCATACCAGAGAAGAGATTTTGCAATTTCCTCAGAAATCGAGCGTTGAAGCCATGAGAGGACGAGATTGTTGCATCGCAGCCAAGGTTCGTATAGAGAGTCAGAGATAGGCGGAGGAGAAAGAGTGCCATCAACGAACTTGATCTTGTTCTTGGAGATAAGAGCCACTTTCATCGATCTAGACCAGATCTGGTAGTTCTTAGTATCAAGAACAGATTGAACAAGAACAAGAGAGGGATTCTCATTAGGATGCATGTAGTAAGGATTGGAAGGATTGGTAGCAAAATCAGAGTAAGGAAGCGCCATAATCAAGCTGATGCAGCAAAGGAAGAAGAAGGCGCGAAGAAGAAGAAGGCGCGAAGAAGATGAAAGGAAAAGGAAAGGTGCGGAAGTGGAATTTCAAACTGATACCATGTTAACTTTGGAATGCCAAGAGAAAAAAAGTAGAATAGAATAAACTCATTGTATTATTATTCTTTTGGAATGTACAAGACAGTACTATATATACTGTTAAGTAACAAACTAAATTGTTAAGTAACAAACTAAACTAACTGTTAAGTAACAAACTAAACTGAATTATTTGCATTATGTAATATGTTGTTTCATTGGGAAGTCAGTTCCCTTATGATAGTCAGTGGGATGCAATTGTTCTTGTGAAGTATGTTTAAAAATAGAGGTAATTCTTAGGTGATTTGGTTACTCAAATGTTGATTGGGCTGGATCTTCCCCCGATAGACGTTCTACCTTGGAGTATATCCTTATACCAAACCTTCTCCAACATCACGGACACGCTCACCATGCTCATATGTTATGATAGCTTCTATTAGTATATCATGTCGTGGTTTTGGAACAATTGTGCCTTCACGGGCCACTTCAACCAACTTATCCTACAAAAAAGGAGCACCTTATGTATATTGTTACAAAAGCATATAAATAACAAATAACATAATCAAAACAAATCATACTTACAATTTTCTCGGTAACTACTCTTAACGCATCTGAGGTGTACTCTCTATTTTGTCTTAGTCAACTCCTTTTCCACTTCTCATGTCTGGACGGGAGAGATGGGATGTGATCATCTCCTGTTTCTTGTTTTTTTTCAAGTATGATTGTTTTCTCAAGTTTCATGTAGCCCCCACGAGACAATCTATGAGGGAGCATGTTTTTTCCTTGTTTTGTATTTCTATTTCGGTTTTAGCTTGTTATTCACATAGTGAAAAATAAATGATTAGTATCTATAAATCATTAGCATAAAACTATCGGATGAATATGACTACTACTAACCTTGAATTTCTCAGAACAACGATCCTTCGCAAACTTTTTCATTACTTTTTCGATATATAACTATATCTTTTCCATGGACGAGCAAGACCGGATTTAAGCTTCCTATTATAGTCTAGCGTGAGTCTTGACTTAAAGCCCCTCCAACAAGTATCGGAATAAGTGATCCACTTTATTTTCAATTTTGAGTCATCGATAAACTCAAATTTCAACTTCATTTAAATTAATAAGTATGTATTAGAAGTTATCTAAAAAGTGAAATCGAATAGATGAAATTAAAATTATTACCTTAACATTTGTCCATATGCTATTTTTCATAGCACTAAACTAGATAGATAAAGTTGTTTGCTAGGCTTAGGAAAATCACATAATCCATCAATTAGAACAAGTTCAAGAAACTCTTTCTTTTTTAGTGATCTAGGAAGATACCAATGTTTAGTTGATAAGTTAAATTATCTCACCATCCCTGGTTCAGATATTTCGTTTGTTGTTTCATTTGGAAGTCAGTTCCTTTATGATAGTCAGTGGGATGCAATTGTTCTTGTGAAGTATGTTTAAAAATAGAGGTAATTCTTAGGTGATTTGGTTACTCAAATGTTTATTGGGCTGAATCTTTCCCCGATAGACGTTCTACCTCGGAGTATTGTATGCTTATAGGTAATTTCATTTCTTATCTTTCCTATATGCTCATTTATCATATTTGACTATTTAAGTATCGTGATCTTTAACTATCCCCAAAGTCGAGGTCTTTCCTAAAATCAACTATACAGAGAAAGATGGTAAAGATAGTTAACATACTTTCTTGTTGGAGATTGAATTAGCCTGTTAAAAATGTTAGGTATTAATATTCAAAATTTTAATTCTATAGGTATCAAAAAAAATAACCCAACATGAATAGGTAGTCGACAATATTCTCTCAGAAGAACAGACAACCAAACTGTGATATTTGCAGCAATGACTCGCATTTACTTCCAGCTTGATGAACTATACGGAAACAAGTATTCACTATGGTGCTAACATGTTGGTTACTCAGTATTACCGCCACTTTACTTTTCATACACATTATTAAAACATCTTCTTCGAAAGAAGAATAAGTGACCTCAAATCTGCAGCTAGTGACAGCGTCAACCACCAACTGAATGGCATCCTCAACATTGACAGTATTATGATCAATCACATCAAGAGTCAACTCAATATCTTGTAAACAAATGACAAAGAATCAACCAGATACTGATACAAGTTGTTATAAATCTAATCTGATAATTTTAGTTTCAAAGCTATCCATTTGAAAAGTTAAAAACTATACTGTTTGTCGTTAATGGAGATAAATGCTTGTCTCATATGTGTAACATCGTCTCAAGTATAAGAACTTGAAACATGCCTCAACTTGCTTAAATGCGTTGAAGATATTTTAGTGGTTGGATTAAATCCAAGGATAGTTAGAAAAGTTTTCAATAGACTTCTCAACCATAACTTATGTCAGTGAAATAGATTTGTTTAGTAACATGTAACTTAATATATTAAAATGACGTAGGAAGAACATTTTTAATAGGCAGTGATTCCATTGAAGGGAGTATAAGGAATACTCATCCCGCATGATCAATACGGAAAACCTCAACTTCCTGAAACAAATGAGAGGTAGAGTATTTCAATAACAAAAATCACATAAATCAACTTTTTTACAAAAGGAACAAAGCCGCTTCCAACAATACAATTGTCGACATACAATCATAAAAAATAAAGGTCTCTTCCTTAAAAATAATGACATTACGAATAAGACAAATGGTCCAAACCGTAGCTATCCAAATAATCACCATAATAGTCCTTTGAGAAGAACACTTCACCTTATCACAATGGGAAAAGAAATCCACAAAATCCCCCAACTATAAATCCACTTATATTTCCATCCACTCATAAACCTTGTTCCAAATTCTAACCGAATACGAACAAGATCGGAAGAGATGCCATAATGTTTCTAGCTACGTAACGTAATAAACACAACATAGATCTCTAGGTTCCGACTAAATTCGACGATTGAACAATTGATCCTTGGTAGGGATTCTATTGAGCAAAAATCTCCAACCAAAAATAAGTAAATTAGGGGGAACATTTACCTTCCACAAATGGTTGATGGAAGTTAACAAATTCGATGACAGAGAGGAAGGTTGATTAATAGTAAAAAGCTCCACGCAAGAATCACTACGCCAAAATTGACTTTTGGCATCACCAAAAAGACAGAGGTTTAATGAGAAAACGTTGATGTAGGTCTTTTAAAAAATTCGCTAAAAAAAAGCGCTGCTACAGACAGCCTTTAAAAAGCGCTTTTAAAAAGCGCTGCTAAATGCCCTGCCTTGGAAAGCGCTTTAATGATAAAATGCTGTTGTAGGTCTTTATTATAGGTCAATGGCTAGTAATCAAGAAAACTCACAAGATACAAATGCTCCAGATAAGACATCAAAGGGAGAAATTACACGAGGCATCACTATTATGAGAAAAATCATTCTTGATAGAGATAAAGGAGTAAAATATGATGTACATTGGAATGATGATAATCAACTAATCGGTCCTAATGGTACAAAATTGACAAGCTACATTGGTACACTTGCTCGTATGCACGTTCCAATTACCTTTGATAAATGTACTAAGAAAAATTTGGATTCCTACAAAGACAAAATTTAGACTGATATACAGGTACCATATAATTTAGCTTTAAAGTATAATGTTTTTGTTATTTTAGTCCCTAACTAAGTAAGGTTTGGGAATGTCTTATATGTATGCTTAATGTTTGTTCCCTTAATCAAGATCACATGGTAATGTATTTAAATTACTTATACTAACAAACTATAATGCGTATGTTTTTTTGTAGAGGTCTTTTAACATTGAAGATAACCGAAAAAAGTATTGTCTTCAAGTTACCGGAAAAAGACACAGAGGGTGGAGAACTTTTTTAACAAACAAATTTTTAAGGATGAGCAAATAAATCTTGTTAAAGCGGATCGTCCAATGAAGTATAGCAACTTCATTGGACCCGGAGAATGGGATGTATTTGTATCCAAACGAATAGAAAATGAGAAATTCAAGAAAGTGAGTGACACAAATCGCGAGAGAGCACCAACACCCACATATCCATACAAAAAGGGCGTTTGAGATATGCACGCTTACAGCAAAAAATTGTAAGTATATATAAATGATACGATCTTATTAATTGTCTTAATGTGTTATAATTGATGATCTTATGATTTGTGTCAATGCGTAGTTAGAGGAGAGAAAAGTGACGAAACATCACTTCCGACGCATGTTTTGTGGAAGGATGCTCGTGTGGGCAAGGATAGAGTTTTTAGGGAATATGTTCAACATATTTATGATGAATGTGTAAGTATAACATTGTGTCTTTAAGTAAATCAAAAGTTTATTAGTATATACTTAATTTTTTATCTCCACTAATAATTTTTGATATATATGTAAATGAATTTCAGGAGACTCTATCTCAATCAGTAACCACAGATGAGGACCAGGATAGCAGGAGCGTACTTAGTCGTACACTAAATGTTGCTGAGTATCCCGGTCGGGCGAGGGGTAAAGGACATGGTGTGACTCCATATTCCTTGTATAAGCATCCCAGGAAAGAAATCCTAGCAAATCAATAAGTGATGCAAACGTTGGAGGAATTAAAGGTGCAAGTCCGTGAATTGCAACAGGATAGAGAGAGATATATGGCGCAAAAGTGCAGTTCAGAGGCGAAAGAAACTAGTGACAAATCTAGTATTAATTGTCAAAATAAATTTCCCGAGGTGATTATATATGTTATTATGAAATTAAACTAGCACATTTATTTTAATTGACATATATACACATTAACAGTAACATATTTATTATTGGTTTAGAGTATTTCATCTTGTCAGCTATACTTATTGTCACCGACTTATCGCTTAGTTGGCAAGGAAAAAGTGCATAACACTTTAGGAGATTTACTTCACCATAGACCCGCTCCCTGATGGACATTTGAAAGTATCGGTTGATGTTGCATTAGATCTGGATGCGTTGCTACTGGTACCTGACATTATTTCATAGACAACATTTCTACGAGATGCAATAGGATCATTTGTTGCATGGCCGTCGGACCTTATTTTCATAGATGTTGAGGTATGTTGAAAACCATTATGAATCTTTTATTATTCAAGTTTCAATTCTGAACCATTACGTACATTTTTATTACATGTTAATTTCATACTCCTACAAAACCCGCATCTAAGGATAAAGAGATTTTGCGGCACAATGAGTCTATTGCATCACAAAAAGAGGTACATTTAAAGTGTTAATCATATGATCCGAATTCAAAAACTGCATGATTTTATAATTTACCTAAGTTATATGATTTTTAGGTACCTGCTCGACGGTCACAACAAGTGAGCCAGAAATTTAGTAGCGTACCCAACAAGAAAAATGATCTTCCAAGAACCGGGGCAAGAAATCCTTTTGTACCTCGATTTCAGATGTGTCTTGAAACACTTGTGGGAACATCAGATTTGATGAATGGTGCTATTCGTCAAATGGATATGGAGGAAGGTTTATTTGGTTTTTCTTACTTCGAAACAATTGCAAAAGAGGAAATGGAACAAATTTTTCTGCATACAGAATTAGGAATCGGTGTTGTACACTCATACATATGGTAATGCGATCAATCTATTATTTAATTAGTCGAACAATTTATTTACACATTTAAATGAAAATAGTCTAATGTTTATTATGTTTTTATTTAAGGTTCTTGTATGAAAAATTGATGCGCGGGAATCAATTGTCAAACAGATTCCATTTCGTGTCTGCCTCCCATGTCAACGAAGAGTCAATTGTTCAAGATCCAGATTCAGTAAGAAATCACTTAGTTGAGAGATTCATGGACAGAAGTACAGAAATCTTGTATCTTTTACCGTATAATACAATTCCTATGAGGTTAGTACTTCATTCTAAGTTCATTCTAATCTTTGTATCTTTTTTGTTGAAGATTTTCATCTAAACTTTTGTTTTAATTTATAGACATCACTGATTGTTGGTTGCTATTGATCCTTTCAAAGAAGTGGTGTAGTATCTGAATTTGGTAAATGGTGAATGGACAAATTATCCAGATATGAAGTTAATGATTGATACATAAGTGAGATTGTTCTAAATATTCGTGTGCATTTTTATATTTAATTATTTTTGTGAGATTATTCTAAATATATGTTTTTATTTTGTTAGATCAATACAAGTATTCTGCTCTCAAAGAGAAGCTCGAGTATCACGGTTTAGATCAAGCAACATTACATGGATGAAAGTGGAGGTACATTAATTTTCACAATTTTGCTTATAATAGTGATGCTACTTGATAAAACAAGACAATTATACATTCTTATTTGTTTTTGTATGTAGTGTGCTCAACAGCGTAACAATATAGATTGCGGATACTTTGTTTTGAGGTTTATGAAAGAAATCCTTCTTTTAAATCGAATAGAGATTCCAATTACGGTATGGATTTATAACTTAGGATTTATTTTAATATTTATCAGATATTTCATATAATTTATTACTTTTAACTAAATCATGCATATTATGTTTTGTTATGTAGTACTTTGATGAATGCAAGTGTGCTCATTACACGAAAAATCAATTAGAAGAAATCAAGGAGGAATTGTGTGAAAACTTTATTCAGAAAAGAATCATATAAGGTATTGGAAGTTGAAAAGTGTTATGAAAAACTTTAATTGTGTTGGACCCAAGTTAGTTTAATTGACCGTGTTGTTCTGTTCATACCTTATTTGCAGGACCAGGACCGTCCGCTCGTCGAATTTCGGCGATTCTAAGCTAAAACGAATTTGGCACATATCACATATAAGCGGATTCAAATAGAAGGTTTTGTTGTACTTGAGGGCTATCACCTTAATACGAAATTCTTGGGGTTTTTTGTTCGAAATAGTCATAAATTTGTCCTTATTATAGTGCATCCTCCTCCTACTTAGTAGCAAACATGTGAATTGAATTATAATGGTGTTTATATTTTGGTATATAATGGTATATAATGGTATTATAATGGTATATAATGCCTTTCTTTTTGTATGTAACGACTTCTTTGTTGAAATAAAGGGTCGTTGAAATGTAAGGCTTGATGTACAGGTTTATGAGATTATTCCCAAAAATATACCTTCTAAAAAGGAAAGAATACGCAACATTTTTACATAAAAAATGCTTAAATTTACGTGAAGCAACGAAAGCGCTTTTTAGGAAAAAGCGTTGCTAAACGCCTACTTCAGAAAGTGCTTTTCCTAGAAAAGCGCTGCCTAAAGATGCCTTAAAAAATACATTAGACAATGCTTTTGAAAGCGCTGTCTAAAAGGAGTAAATAGAAAGCGTTTTTTCAGGAAAAAGCGCTGTCTAAAGGGGGTAAATAGAAAGCGTTTTTTCAGGAAAAAGCGTTGCTAGAGGCCTACCTTGGAAATCGCTTTTCCATGGAAAAGCGCTGCTAAAGAATACATATGGCAACGCTTTTGCGTAAAAAAAAGCGTTGTCTATACCTACGGTAGCCCCACCATAGGCAGCACTTTTAAGCGCTTCTAAAGGGAAAAAATGCGCTTCCTTAGGTCTTTTTTGGCGTAGTGAATTGACAGAAAAATATTGTTTGAAATTACGCGACCACACATACTTGTCAAGACTATTTTGCTCCAAAGAAACCTACTGAAGTAGGTCGTAAATTTTGGCAAACAGTCCAAGATCAGCATTAGTGACTGAGAGCAGAATCTTCGAAATGTCCCATTTCCAAACTAAACCCTTCTGCACTCAAACTTCAGCCACACTACTATTAGTATTAAAGGCATGCTCGAATAGTTCCGAAAATACTTTCCACAGGGGCTTCTTATAGATCCAATTAGAGTGCCAAAAAGTTGTTCCGATACCACTTCCCATAGTGTAACAGACTACATTAGTAAACCGATTACAAG